GCAGCAGATTTATCGGCTATGCCACAAAAACTTTTAGCATACCCACAACAAACAGCGGATCGTACCCCCCGACTTCTGAAAAGGGGGTTTCAAAAAGGTTTTAATAGCAAATGTCGGCAATTTGTCGGCGGCGACAAAGCGAAATGGCTTTTAAATTGAGCTTCACTCATGTTCGGGGGCGTGTCATGCGCCCACATGCACTTATTGATTTTGTTACAAGGGGCTGGCTTAGATTGGGTCAAAGGTTAATTAGTTAATTGGCTGGTCAGGTGAGCTTGAGAGGGTACTTGGCAGGGGGAGGGCGGGGAAGTCGGTGGGCGGAGTAGTGACTGGATTTGGTGGGAGGAAAAGGTTGAAAAATGCTTTCAAAATTGATAACTGAGAAGTATGGGTATAAAATCAAAAGGCTAATATTTTTAATTTTTTCAAAGGCGTGTTATTATTATTTTCGTATCAATATTCTTCTTTAGGCTTACAGTGCAGTTCTATTTACCTGTGGTCATTTTCTGAAATAGATATGGACCTCTATGAATTTTTAAAATAGGTATTACTTTTTAATAAAGGATTCCTAATTATATTTATTTCCTAATTATATTTAAGAAAAATTTAGGAACTTTGGATATACATATAATCCAGACCATGCCCATGCCTTTTTAAAATAATTTTCAAAGGGGTAATGTGGATACAACATGTACAATTTTTCGGGTAATATATTACTTTACTGAAAGTCTTTCGCCAGGTGATTAAACTTCTGAGTCATACCCCAGCAACTCATCAGAACTCATCATCATTATGGGCCAACCGATTTGAGATCTCTCCCTTAATTTGCCTCAGATTCATAAACTTTAGCTTGCTCCAAATGCCACACCCTCAAAAAAAAAAGGGTAATCGGAATGGAAATACCCGAGATTCATGGCTAACACACCCTCTGAACTCGCTTCCAAAAATTAGGGGCCTCCCAGAAAGAAGACCGAAGACATTTCTCGTGGCCCGGCGCCCAATTTGGTTCCCAAAAAGTGCTTCTTAATACAAATCACTCGCCATTTATCTTGGCCCATTAATTTATAAATATAACTAAGGCAGATTCTATAAAAAAGCACGGAAAGAAACGGAAAATTAAACGAATAAGGCTTGCGTGCACCTTGTGGGCGTGGCCGCGGAGTGCGCCAAATGGGCGCCCATTAATTTCCACAAAATGAGAGAATTTTCGAATAAAACCGGAATGCATCAAATTGAATTTGCTGCCGCTTTTTCGTGCCTAATTAATGTTAATTTTCATCAGGCCAGCCACATAAATTTTCCACTTCGAGAAATCCACAATTATACGGAATTAACAAATCATTTGCGCGGCAATCTGTCAAAGATTTTCCCCAACCGTAATTTATATTTCCTTTATTTGCAGGAAAACTCTTACAATGTTGTATGGCATTATAGTATTCGTTTTTAGGTGCCGTGCAATTTCCACTTTAGCTTAATTGGCAATTTATTAAAGTGTTTAATTAAGAGAGACAATTAAAAGCGATTCGGTAAAATATGGTAGGGAACGTGTGATGCTCTATTGTAATATAAGTTTTTAGAAAAAACGTAAAGTCTTGATGAAATTCCAGAATTTCGCCTTAAAAACTTAAAGCTTACTAGTACTTAAGGTGCTCAAGAATTTGATGTTTATTATATATACTTCAAAAAACCGAAAAATAAATAATAAGTAAATAAAATGAAACCTGTTTTCATTTTACTTAATATTTAAAAAGAAATTAGTGTAAATATGCATTTAAATTATTACAAACAATAATTAAATTGGGTGCCTCGGGCCATCCATTATATACTAATGTTTGCTCAAAATTATTTGTTGACTTTTTCGTCGAGTCGATCATTAAATTGCCATTACGTAATGCCAGAACCGACAGGTCGGCGCATCATCAGCGTGCTGGTGTGCATTTCCAATTAAAAAAGCATTAAAACACGTTGCTTACGGCCTGCGAGGGAATTGCAATTGGAATCGAAATGGACAGCACCCATGCCCACCTGCCGAAGGAGATTCCCATTCGCATCCAAAAGATGGAGATCCATGGAGGAGCAGGCCTTGGTTCCAGTCGATCAGGGTGTTATTTATGGCGGCGAGAAAATTAACTTTTCCTGCTGGCTGACATGGAAACCAATTTGCCAATTGACGCCTCAACCTCTGGCGGGCATCTGTGGCTTCGTTTTTTTGGCCCAGACTTTGGCTTTCTGGCCCAGTCTTTCAATTAAATTTATGTTCGAGCAGGAGGCGCCAGCCGAGACTGACTGAGCAATCGCTGATTTACGACCTGGAAACGAAGGCGAATAGAAAACACTTTGCAATTATTAAACGTACTATTTTTATGGCTGTTCCAGGTATTGCATTTGTTTTTTTAGGCATTTAATTTGTTTTTTGCTTTTCTATCGACCGCCCACGATGTGCGCCAAATGAGGTTTAAACTGCAATTCCCTTTACATTTGGCAAACTTTTCCCATACAAATTGCCGCTAAATAGCTGAGACCTGACACAACAATAACAACCCGGACTCCTACGCCGTTGCCAGCACGTTCGTTTTCGCTTAACCCTTTGTCAATCGATGGGCGATTGATAAACCCACTGACACTCAACAAAAATCACAAGGGAATAGGGAATAATTGAAAATTTTTTTTTTAGTTGACCTAAGCAGAATGTCCAAAATATACACAAAGGTTATATTCACGTTTTCACCTAAGTTGAAAGTGTTCTTAAAAACATAGCGACACTTTTTGAGTTCAAAATATTCTCAAAGTGCTTGAATCAAGTTGAATTGGTTCTCAAAATCTCTCTGTGTATTCTGAAATATGGAGATTTCTTAGTCGAGTTGGGCAGAATGGCCAAAGTATACACCAAGAGAATTTTCAAGCTCTCACCTAAGTTGAAAGTGTTCTTAAAAAAATAGCCACATTTTTTGAGTTCAAAATGTTCTCAAAGTGTTTGAATCAAGATGAATTGGTTCTTAAAATTTCTGTGTGTATTCTGAAATATTAAGAAAAGTTTTCAATCACATTTAAAATCATGATTAAAAGCTTATACATTTTTCAGACTTTAAGTAATTCTAAGCATATACTTTTTTACCATTTTTTTTTATAATAAACTTAAACAAATTTCTGTAAGGTTTGTGGCCACAGAGGGTTAATGTTGCTGCTGTGCTGTTGGTGTTGCAATTGCTGCCGTGCTGTTGGTGCACTGCAGCAAGTGTCAGGCCCTTCAATCGCTGACGCCCCCTCTCCCCACCTCTTGCACCTGTCAAATTTGCAGCGCCTGGGGAACTAATGACGCCCTTAATATGCTCCAAGTGCCTTGGCTGAAAGCCATTTCCCTTTCGCTTTGTTTTCAAAGTCATCGCCATCGTCTTTGTCTTCGTCATCGCGGCTGGCAGACATGCCAAAATCAAACGAAAGGGTTTGCCAACGGAAAACCCAGGAAATACTGCTGAAAAGTCGATTCACCAATGCACTTGCGATCAAAAAGGTGAAATAATAAAGCTTTTACTTATAAATATAATGATAGGAAATAAAATCCAATCAAAGTTACGACTGAATAAGTTATTCTTTGTAAATACTTAAATATGGAAAATAAGTAAGCAGTTAAATGGCCATTATTGTAACCATAAATTACTTACAAATGCCTATTAGCACTTCCTCTAAAAAGGTGTTTATAGATCCCAATGTCCTAACGAATTCTTATATACATATAATAAAAATTAGGTATTATTTTGTAGTCATGATGAAGTCCAATAGAGCCTGAAACCTCTTTAATTTTTGAAATAGATTTAATTAGTCTTATCTTACCTTGAGAACTGTTGGCTTACATTACCAAGAACATGTGGACGAAAACCATTCAAAGCTTTCTATCTAATAAAGGCACATATTTACGAATATGCTTAGCTATCAAAGGGACAAACAAAGTGAAGTGGTGACCCCGACCCCATCTGAAGGGGCCACCCTCCATTGCTCTGGGGTAACCACCCGAATCCCGAGCAGCTGAGACACCTGCATTTCGCAGTAGACAACTTCATTTTGTAGGTCTAGCCGAAAGACTCATAAATTCGCGGCCCACAGAGGAAACGCAGACCAAACCGATATATATAATTGCATATGTGGGCAGGGGCCCATTCCGAGTGCAATTAAGTAATTCTCACATCGTTTATGCAAAATACGAGAATTTTCCTGGGCATTCTGGTGGAGGAACCTCTGGAGTTCTGAAGTTCTGGGGTTCCGTAGTTCTGTAGCTCTGGAGTTCTGGTGATTGCTCGCGTGCAACCTCAACACCCTTTGCTTGTAGTCAAGTGGCCCATAAATTGCTGGCCAAGTTTTCACGGTGCCCGCCCACTTTTCGTTGCGCTGCTTTGACAACGGCAATTACCTTGAACTTTTCGCCTGCCATATCGAAAAATAACGCAGGGAATATATTTATATATATATGTATGTATTTTTTTTCGCCATTGCCAACGGGCTCATATATTTTGGGCCACTTTGCGATCTCCTCCCGTTTTGTCAGTTTAATTTTTGGTTTAGCTCGCGTTTCGCTTTAAATGAACCCAAATTGCTGGCCCATTCGCTTCGGGCTGCTCCATATGCATATCTGCAACCTCGGAGCAATTTCGGCATAGTAAATATTTTTTATAGGCAATCATTTGCATTTTGAATATCAATTTTGGCCATCAATTTCGGCCTTTAGTTACTGACATTTATTTTTTGGCCGCCTTATGAGACCGTAACTCTGCACTTTTTACTGTCAATTTTCGGGGGGAGAATGGGGGTTTCCATCAACAACTCAATAAATGAAAGGCCTTGTTAGCAGTATTTTTTTTTTGGGGCCCTTTGATTGGTTATTTTTTGGCAGCTTATCGATACCTTTTGTGCATTTGTAATGAGTTTATCATGCAATGGCAGAATGTTTGCCAATAAATGGCCATCACATGTGGATTTGCAGGCATTTGATAAATGTTTTGGCTGGATATATGATTTCTTTCTTTTATTTATTGGCTTTGTTATTTGTATTTTAAGTAGTAAACAATTTAAATTAAGCTATACAGTTGACAAATAATTTACAGGAAATTAAAGGAACACAAAATAGCCGAGTAAGCCCAGTTTAGCAACTATGGGTCACTACTTTTCCCGCTCCCTTTCCCTTTCCCGGGACTTTTCCCGCTCCCGCTCCCTTTCCCGCAGATAGAGTTGCTGCTGCTGGAGGAAGTGTTGCTGCTGCTGCTGGTGTTGCTGCTGCAGATGTTGCTGGTGCTGCTGCAGCAACTGATGCTGCTGCTGCGGACTCAAGGTGGCCGCCGCATCCGAAGGATTCTGCTGGATGAACTGCTGCTGGTGCTGGGCCAACTGCTGCTGGAACTGTTCCCTTAGTCGCTGGTGCTCCTCCGCATCCATTTCACTGCCATAGTCATCCATATCGATCACCTCGTCCTCGTCGTCCTCCTCGATCTCATCGTCCTCCTCGGGATCCTCTGCATCCTCGTAGCTGTGCTGCGAACCATCGTGCTTGCCATCGTCATCGCCATCGCCTCCTCCTCCGCCTCCCGAGGAGCTGCCCTTGTTGCTCTTGGTGTCGCTCCCGTCGCCGCCCTCCTGCTGCATCCGCTTGTGCTTGGTGCGGCGGTTCTGGAACCACACTTTCACCTATATAAGAAATTATTAAGAAATAATCATTTTATTTCATTCCGATTAAGTAAATATGTGCAATATCAATCATTTACAACTGATATTCCTTATATATCAGAACCTTAAGATCTTACTTCTGGTACTTCAAGTAAAATACTAGAATTGATTTTAAACACATCTAACTAAATAGTACATTTGTTGGTGGGCTTATATACTTTTATATAAATGCAAATTATAATCGCTATCAAGATATTAATGTTTTAATTAATGATGAAATCACAATATTAATATCTTGATGCGAAAAATAAACATTTCTGAATTCGTTACATTATACATTATCAATCAAATAACCCTGTTAATTAAATATAAATTTCATTATTTAGGTACAACGTTAGTGATTAATTTAAAAATGTATTTTATAGTAAATTTGTTATCATTGTTAATTTCAACGAAAACGTCTATCCTTTTTATTTTGATTCAAAAAAAAGCATTTCTATATTATTAAATTATAATTTTAATAACTATGTAAATATAAATGTAAATATAAATATCATTTTGATTATTTAGGTAAATTATTAATGATTATATATTATTATAATTATCTTTTTGATTTTTTAGATTAAATATTAATGAATAATTTAAAAATGGATCGACCAACTTGAAATGATATGTGATCATTTTAAAGAACCACGTTTTAAAAGACTGCCATATGAATGGTTCATTGAATCACCCTTTGATTCCAACCTCAGTTTAGTATAAATATTTTCTTTAGTGCACTTACAGGAAGCAATTGAGCTTGGGGGTAGCCTTTTCGGGGGTGGGTCCTTAACCCTTCTAGTTTGCTTTTGTTTTCTCTTTTTTTGGCAAGTCGTAAATAAATTTAACGAGTCTTTTAATTCTATTTACGGCCTGCCTCCCAGCTATGCCCCCGAGGGTGCGGAGTCAAGTGCTAGACGACCCCCTTTCGAGAACTTGAACCTGCACCCCTGGCCGCCCCCTCGAAGCGCTAATAACTCAGTAAGTCCCGGCACTTCTTGGGCTAACGACCAGACGACATGCAATCACTTAGCCCCTAACCGAAGGGGTTGAACTGGGGCTGCTTATTGAATTTGATGCGCATTAAGGGCTGCCGGGTGGCGGGCCCATCTCACCTGGGTTTCGGTCAGGCTGAGCCCCTGGGCCAACTGCTTGCGCTCCGCCCCCACCACGTAGTGGTTCCCCTCGAAGGCGTGCTCCAGTTTGAGCAGCTGCGTCGGCGAGAAGGCGGTGCGGACGCGCTTCGGCTTGCGGAATGGCTGGAACAGGAAATCTGCAAGAGATCGGGAGGGGAAAAGTTGGGTTAGATGAGAACTATAATGGGTGGTGCTGGGGGGCAAACTTATAACTCGTTGACTAACAGATTATTATAATCTTTTTAAGTATAGATACATTTTCTAAGATTAACCTATAGTAGTTTATCTTAGATAAATGATATTAGATATGGTATATACATTTTCTAAGATTAACCTATGGTAGTTTATCTTAAAAAATGTATCTACCATTCAAAATATATATTTTAAGAAATTAAAAAATATGTTTATTCGAAAATAGTTTTTATCAAGACAGAACTTTCTATTAAATGCTCTTTATCTTAAATATTTTGGGGTAATAAAAGTAATAATTATAGACAAATTTTATTACTTTGAGATTCTGCTATATTATTTAATCTGCTGGGGGGTAATCTTATAACTCGTTGACTAGCACCTTTGTTATTATAGCCTTCAAAAATAAAGGTACGTTTTCTAAGATAAACTTATGGTAAACCATTCAAAATATATATTTTAAGAAATTAAAAAAAATGTTTAATTTAAAATAGTTTTTAAAAAAACACAGAACTTTCTATTAAATAGCTCTTTAAGTTAAATATTTTGGGGTAATAATAATAATTACAGACGAATTTTAATAGCTAGAGATACTGCTATTTTATTTTTTTAACAAATAAAGGTTTCAACTAACTCTACTACTTTAAAAATAAATATCGGAAAGCAAATGATTATAGGGTTACTATGCAACGTAACAGCATTAAAAGTTATCCCATCAAAAGTTATCCAAGCCACGTTTTATTTTAGTTTAGTAATTATGTAAGTAATAAAACTTTATCGGCACTTTGTTTATCTAAGCTATTAACTTTACCATTAAAAAAATTATTAATTATTTATTACTAAGTCAATAGGCTCTTGGAGACATTAAAGTTTCTCAATTAAGCAAATCATGTTGGCTATTAAGAAAATAAATAAAAGTGAATGAGTATGTTTTTTAATAGACTCTAGGGGCTAATAAAATAAGTAAATTAATTCAATGTATATAAAAAACAAATCAATATTGTTATTGGGAAAATAAATTAGTAAAAGGTAATACCTGTGTACCTGTACCACATACAATTTACTGAACTATTTATAAGTTTCATGAATATAAAGGGCTATAAAAGTACTTTTACGTAGAGTCACCCAGTGAGAGGAGGACCTCATTCCTCCTGGAGGCCCTGCCAATTAGATGACGTTGTGCCTCAAATTGTTGATTATGAATTCCGCGAATGCCGCGAGCAAAGATGCCGCATGGTGGCCACTCACATGTTGCACACGCTCATTACAAAACAATAAACAAATTTCCAGACATGGGCCAGCGAACGGAAAGCACAAAAGGCTTCTGGTTCGTGCCGCTGTCGGCGCTGTGTGTTTTTTGCCATGTCCCAGAATCGCTGATAAGGCCAAAACAATTGGCCAGGCCAAGCTGAGCCGAGCTGGCTTTCTTTTGCCCTGGACGCCAAGCCGAACACTTTAGCGCTCCTAAAAGCCGCCAACGACGCCTCTTTGGAGGACCGAGGACAGAGGATCGAGGTCCCATTGTTCTTCCTTCCAGCCGGCACAACGTGATATTTTGACGTTTATCACGATTTCTGGAAGCCCAGATCCCCATCCCCATCCCAAATCCCATACACATCCCCACCTTCAGGCCAAGTTCACTGCCGCTTTTGCGCCTGCGAGTTAACAAATTTCAATTGAGCCACAATTTGAATATTGATATGGGGCTGGGGCTACTGTGCGAGATGCGACTGAGATTTCTGATGGTGCAGAGGAATTTGCTTTGAAAAATATGATGAAATACAGAGGAAGTCGGAAAATTAAATTAAACTTAATAAGAAAATATAAAAGAACATTTGAATATTTACATATTTGGTTTAATGTTTTAAAAATGTATGGAACTTAAAGCCAAATTCCAGTTTTGTACATTTTTAAGGATATTTGATTCTTTTATAAAACAAAACTTCGGGAGAATGATTTATTCGAGAAAGTTTGCAAGCATGTTGACCAATTTTGACTCATTATTTTTGAAATATTTAAATGCACCTAATAAAGTATACTTTTAGTTAAGGAATGATAATTTTTATAGAGACCTATACATTCTCATGCATTTAAAAAAAAACAAGAATAAATGATACTATTTCCGGAAGGTAAATATAAGCTTACTAAACATCTAAAAGTAAATCCAGAGGATTATCCATTTCTTGCCCGGAGATATGACTTTCTTTGGCCAACAATCCTTACCATTCTTTTGCTAACCCAAAAACTGTCGACTTAAGATTCTAGACCTCAACCGACTGCAATTCTGATCTCACAAAGCAAACATTCCACCTTAACCAGACTTGTTGTGATATAATTTAGTGAGCAAGCCTAAGCTGAAGGTGTCCCAATTACAAAATCAATATTTTCATAGCAGAATCGAATCGATTTCGGCGACAGGAAGTCTGTGCAACAAACAGCAAACCAAACAAAACAGAAGCTAAGCCATTGGGAAAATAAACAGCTAATAGAGAAGGGCTGGCGAAAGGGTGCGAAGCCATTAGATACAAGATGCAACCCCAGAAATGTATCTTGTTAGCGCTGCCTGGCTGGAAAAATACCACCGAACAATAAAAAGGGAAGAAGAGGGTGAGGGAAATGGGAACGGGGAGTGGGCAAGGGGAACTTGTCAATTCGACACTTCATAAATGCAGCCTCGCACCATTGATGGCCATGTATCTACGCATCTGACAGATGCAACTGACTGCGACTGCCGACTGACTGCGTGCTTGGTTTTTGCTTGAACTTGACAAACGATTGCCAGGAGCTAGCATCCCAAGTGATCTAGTTTTGGTCTTTTTTTGTACTCCACGATCGCTTGACATTTGTTACATTTGACAGCTAACAATGTAGCTACAAGATACAAGATACACGACTGCCCAGCGCCTTAGAAGAGGCTGTATAATTGATAATGCCGCCGCTCACAATGGCCACTTAATTATTTTTTCTCTTCCTTTTTTTCATCTAGCTCTGCAGCAGCTCTCAATGAAGTGTGTGTATTTTTTTTTAGATTTTTTCTGTAGGTTTGTGGACACAAAGGAAACCGCCGTGCGAAAATACGCGCAATTGACAATTAATTGATGTGTCCGCTCTGCTGGCCATGTTGTTGGATTCGCAGTGGCTCACACCCTTGTCAGCTGTCATTTTTTTATGTATGGTATACGAGTGTACCTCACTTTTTTAGCCCGCGATGGTAGTGCCGGGTCTCGTTTCGTTTTCGTTTAGGCGACTGTCCTGGCCTTTTGTTCCCCCCATTATTTATCACTTATGTGCAATTGTATTTGCTTTCTTTTTTATCGAGTTAGGGCTTAATTTTTATGCTCTCATGATTTTTTCATTAATTTATTGCATTCCTCGAGTGTCCCGCGTGCGAGGACATTGACTCGAGATCGATAATTGAAATCAAATGAAATGACAGTCGGGGATGTTGTGATGATCGATTTGACGGCAATGGCCATTTGCAGTCGGGGTGTCTGAATGGGATTTTGTGGGCTTCTGCGGGGTAATGGCTTTGATTGGGGTAGAATAAATCTTTTTGATAGGGATACCTATCGGATAACCTTTTTGATGAGGCGAAAAACAGTTCTATAAATGCAGAAGTTATAAACAATTTTTTTTTTAATCTGGAAAGGGTTAAGAAATATTTAAGACAGTTTACTCTTAATTGTCAAATGCAACGGAATACAATTCCATAATTAATAAGCAATAACCTTTTGCTAAACTTTATTGAATAAAAAGCTAAAATATAAAATGTAGTTGATATTAAAAATCTTTTTAATGAGCTCGAAGTCAAAATCACGTATCAAGAGTTGTTGCTATCAAATTATTGACTGTGAAGTACTATATACAACTACTATACAAATAAGGTCAGGTATAAAACCAGTTCAACAATCACATAAAGTAAAAGGAATTTATTTTTTCCTACACTAGTGTATTTAATTTTGTTGATTAACTTGTGGTACTTGAAGGAATTTAGGCAAGTCTTTAAGTGATTTAACCCTGGAGATTTATTCAGGAGTTTGAATATTAAAGAATAAAGCCTTGATTTAACATGGCAATAATGTTGTAAGTCCAAGTATTTCTCACTTATTAAAGGGTATGTTACATAATAAGTTGGATTGAGATAGCAAACATACAGGACTTAATAATATATTAATAATACCGCATAACACTATAATATTACTTATTAAAAGTAAGGATGTATAAACGTATTACACATTGAAGGGTCTTCAAGGTTCGTAGGACAGCAGAAACCAGCTTGTCCAATTATAATGATCCGTTTTTAAGCCTTCAATAATAAGGACCTCAACCTTATAAGTGTTACCCTTTTCCTAGAACATCGTCGGCATTAGAGGGCCACACCCAGAAATTGCAGCACGTGCAACCTGAATTGAGTTACTGACGCATCATCATCCTCGCTATCGCGATGATCCCCATTATCTTGTAAGCTAACCCCCTCCAAAAACCGAAAAAAACATCATGTAACCCGGTATTACTCACACGAGTTACAAAGCAAACGAAGACGAGAAACATTTACAATTAATGAAATCGTTATGCGAAACATTGACATTTCACGTTCATAAATCAAGCGAAAATTACAGTCGGAGTGGAGAAAAGTGAGAAGTCGAGCGGGAAATGGGAAAAGGGAAAAGGGAGAAAATAATGAAACGGAGTACAACATAATTAAGGCGTAACGGGGATACATGTACATTTAAGCAGGTGAAAGGCGTGTGAGTGTGCCGAAAATTATGCTTATATATACCCAACCCAAAAACAGAAAAAAACGAGAAAAACAACATGGCCTGGAAATTCAAATGGTAATTATGAGAGCAAACGAAAAAAAATGTGGTTAAAGCGTGGTAAATGACAATGTTTTTGAGATGCGCTTTGCGGTGGCTCTTCGCTTCTATCTCTCGGGTTTTTTCAGTTCTTAAGTTCCTTGCTTGGTTGCCCCAAAACCTCAATTAAAAACGCATTAACATTTCACTGGTTGCACTTTTCGTACGTTACACATACGCCGCATGGGCCCGCCGCATGAGTAACTGGCGCCGTCTGTTGGCCATTAATGGCAATTTCGAAAAAAGATATTTATATAGAAAAAACCCACACTCACACACTTGGCTGGCCATTTAGGTACGCTGCTTGACCTAACGATGTGTGTAATGTTGTTTAAACAATTTAATTAAAATGTAATTTGTTTGGAAATAGTTATCAAAATGGGTTTGGTACCCTCTCCCTCGCACCCGATATCTTTCTCTCTGTCTCTGTTCCTCTTTCTCTGATGATGATGAGCCCGATACACGTCTAATTAACTTGTAATAAATGTTTGCCATTTGCTTATTTAACTTTAATTATATGGAGCTGCACGGCAACAACAGCGATAACTGAATAATTGCTTGATTGAGGTTCTCTGCGCCATAATGGCGGAGTGGTTCGAATATGACTTTTAGGTGTGGTTTCTTTCTCTCCCTGGTTCACGGCACTCAGCGGCCGTTTGAAACGGCTATAATGACTAGGAAAAACTCGTTTAAGTGAAATATATTCAAAAAGTTAGTGGTGGCATTTCCCAGATAGTGTTTAAATAAAATTATATATGTTTTAACGGACTCATGAATATGACTACTATTTTTCGCCTCCTATTAAATCTTTAATAAATATAATATTGGGGCTTAGGAAATTTTAAAATTTGAAAGTGTTCAAATATTTATTTGAGCCACCATTTATCTAGCTTAAAAGTATCTCTGTCTGCTAATGGAATCGTGCAAATATCCAATTAATAAATATGCATAATAACTAACTTAAACTGTTCTAAATTGCTTTTGCTTTTAATATATTCCTTTATAAATCTATTAATTGTAATTGGCTATTTATGCATAAAAAAGGCATTTCTCAAATTTTTAAATTGAAAAACAACAACGAAAAAAACAGAAAGTTCTGATTTAATACCAGTTGTATTATTAAAAACACTGCATAATAGAGGCAATGTTAAAATTAATGTATAGATTCAAGGTTTTATAATAAAGGTTTATACTAAACAGTTTTATTTCTATATTAAAGAGTCTAGAATTTGGATTTGGACTTTTTAAGTTAACTAATTTCAATTTAATACTTTGGAAAGTATTCATTTAATTCCCTTTTTATTGACGCCAAATAGATACTCATTCATTTTAGTTTTATATTAAAAGAAATATCCATAGAATATTTAAAACATGTTTTAAAATAAATTTAGATTGTTATGAATTAAAGACTTTATTATTGTTATGAATTTAATATTTGAAATATACTGGGAAGTTCGTTAAGAGGGACATAACTTACTGCCTGGAGAAGACTTTATTATTGTTATGAATTTAATATTTGAAATATATTGGGTAGTTCTTTAAGAGTTACATAACTTACTGCCTGGAAAGCGTGGAAAGATGCGGCCGTGTCGACTGAGCAGCCACGGGTACAGCGGATAGCTGTCGCGGATCAGGTGCGGAGCACTCCCGAAGGGGTGGTGGCCGTGGGGCGGAGGATGTCCCGGATGCGGGCCGCCCGGGAAGATCCCCATTGGCATTTGGCCGGGCGGCAGATGCGGATGCGGACCATGTGGCGGTCCAGTTGGCACGGGCGGAAGTTGCTGCTGCTGTTGCTGCTGCTGCTGCTGCTGGTGATGGTGGGCCAGGGCGGCAGCCATTTGGAACTGGGCGGCGAGGAAGGGGGGCGGCGGCGGGTGGGGCGGACCCGCCATGCGCACCGCCAGGGGGTTCGGCGAGGTGCGGTTCTGGATTAAAGCTAGATTCGGCGCCGGCAAGGGCATCGGACGGATGAGGGTTGGATTGGGCGGATTGCCCGCTCCCGCTGGCGGGGGATCCCCTGATTTTGCAGGAGGATTGCCATTCGGAGGCGTTGGCGACCTGCTAACCGGCGATCTCTGTGGACTGCGCGATCTGTCCAGGGAATCCCTCCTCCGGCAGTAGATGTATCCCCTGGGCGTCCGCCGGCCACTGTTGTTGGTGTTCGTCGGCGAGGCGGGACTCTCGCTGCGCGGCGCCGGCGAGGATATCACACTGACCCTCAGGGGAGCCGATCTCGTCGAGGACTCGCCCACAATCGAGTCGATGCTGAAGGCCAGCTTGGGCTTGCTGCCCGCAGAGGCGGAAGCGCTGGCCGTGCTGGCGGAAACGGAAGTCGAGGACGCGGCCGCCGAGGAGCTGCTGCTCACGAAAGGACTCGTCGGCGCCATGGGCAGCATGTTGAACGTTTGCCGGCCGCAGGTGACCATTTGGTAGGGGTTTAGTCGATGGAACCAACAATCAAAACACTGTCCAACTTCTCAAAATCGAACTATAGGTTAAAGTAGGTTATAAGCACTACAAAAAAACCTTTGTTTCCGTTTTCTAGTCTGCTTAGTTTTGACTGTATTTTATAAAATTGTGCTTGCTACAAATGGATTTAGGTTATCATCCCCGAAATATTAGAATTTTAGAATATAACCTTATCTTAGTAAAAAAAAGTTTAACTTAAAAGTTTTTAAAGGAACTATTGTAAGAAAAAGAATAATTTTAAATTTATCTATAAGCCAAACTCAATCTACCCATTCATAAAAATATTAATTTCAAAAAATATTTTAGGTTCATCGACGAAACTTCTGAATTTTAGATACAATTATAACCATATTTAAAAAAAGAAATTATAATAAAATAGGTTTTTAAAGGAACTAAAGTAGGACAGGTATAATATTAAATTTTTCAATTATCAAACTCTATTTAAAATTTAAAAAAAATTGTAATTAAATTGATTAAAACTCTATAAATGGTATATTCATTATTCCTATACAGAAGAACATGAGTTTTAAATTTAAAAATCTCTTAAGTACTTGAATTTATAACCCCAAAGAGTGCAAATTTTATCCTAACCGTTTAATGATATGTGAGTTCTAAACACAATTTCCCCATTATCAAAGGTAAACACAGCCAAAATAGATCAGAATCGAAAACGGAAAGAGGGGAGTATTGATCGATTTCCTATTATTTGGGATGGGATGGGGTCTGTAGGAAACACGATCGGTACGTCGTTTGTTTGTTACTGGTTACTGGGTATCAGATAGGCACACACGCACTGTTTTTCAGATCAGATAGCCATAGACCACGGCTATGCTATGCGGTTGTTGTATCTGTATCTGTATCTGCGATGCTCCAGCGGTTGGCATCCGTCGGCGTGACATTGATAAACTGGATAACTGGAGCGGCGGCAACGCGGCGATTGGAGCGTGACCGTACCGCTTCGATGGACGATTGACGGCGGCGATTGACGACGGCCGGTGGACGATGGACGATTGATGATTGACTCGGTCGCAAGGCGGCGGTTAACGGTTAACGGTTATCAGCGGTGCCCGGTAACGAAACGATTGCGATTGCGGTGGCCGCGCTGCGAGGATGATGAGCACTGTCAACGCCATTAGCATTATGGGGCTTCTAAAGGCGTCTAATTGCTGGCTCCTCTCTCGCCCTCTCTCTTTCACTCGCCACTCTCCCCCTCTCTTTCTTTCTTTCTTTCTTTGCGGCGGGGGCGTCGGCGAATCGCTGCGTGGCTCTCACGCTGAGCGTTTTGGCTCGAGTGTCGCGTTGGAAAGGAAAAAGCCGCAAAAAGTTTGTGGGGCCAGCAATTGTGCTTCCTCTTCTTCTGCTGCTGCTTCTGCTTCTGCTTCCAGTGGGAGCCGCACAGCACAGCAGGCGTCTTTTTCGCACACTCTTTGCACTGCGCCTGCGCCAAAGCAGTGCAGCAATAATCCAGTTGGATTTCCAAAAACCTGCTCTGCTCCAAAGTGGAGCCACCTCCTCTCTCGCTCGCTCTCCCGCTCTCTGGCCGCGTTTGTGTGAGTGTGTTGCGGGGGCTTTCTCTCTCTGCATCTCTCTTTCGCTCTCTTGGCCATTTTTCGCACCAGTTTATGACAGCGAAACAAACAATTTGCGCTAAACAAAACAGCATCATTAAAGCGTTTGTGGTTTTAGTGCCAAGCGGGTTGGCCAGTTGGCAGGGGGCACTAAAACAGTGGGCGAAACACAATATTTCGGGGAATTGGAAAGTGGGTATTATTTTTTATTTAAGTTTAGACAAAAGGAACTAATTCAAACATCCCATAATGAAAAACTTATTGTGCCAACTTTTATTTTAATGAATTCTATTTATTTTTTAAAAGTATCTTTAATAGATAAAAATGGCCTTGTTGCTCGCTAAAAGTTTTTTTTTAATTTATTATTTATGCTAATAAATGCTTTAAGCCCTTTAAATTTAAATTTAAAAAATATATACAAACTAAAACCATATATTTTTTCTTAAAGCTAAAGTATGAGTTTATATATTATTTACAATATGAAAGTGAATAGATCTCTTAATATAATTAGATACTTATTATTACTATTTGAAACCCAAAAGGTTTAAATCTTTAAGTAAAATAATATCTCCAATTTCATTTTGGTAACCTTCTGTTAAATTAAATTTTTTAAGCTTTTTCAAATTTGTAAATATTTTTCCCGATTCCACTGTGCACCGACATCAACGTCATCGCTTATATAGCTTAGACGCCCCGTCGTCAGTGCTGGCTATAACCGGCACCCCCTCCTCCGCCTGCTGGCCCTCCGCCCCTGCCACTGCCCTTCCCCCACCCCCTCCTCCCGGCCTTTCCACCATTCTGAATTGGCTCGAATTGGCATCTGCATCATGTTGGCCAAAAGCATTTGGACATGAAAATGGGCGGTAACTTGGTTTCTACACCTTCGGCGAGCTGCAACTGCCGGCGCACACTCGCAGCGAGTATCTCACAGATACGCCTGGCTGGGGATGGGAATGTATCTGTATCTGGTCATCCGAGTGGCTGTATCTGTGGCTGGATCCCCATCCTCATCCGCTGGCTGTGAGTTGTGAAAATAAACACCTCGTTAAAGATGCAGGAGGAGGCATAAAACATGCAGCGCCAACTTCGCAGCCTTCTCATAGGTAAATACATGCGACTCGGCCCCCTGTTCCTCGGATCTCCTCCTTTTGGCCATGAATGGATGTGAATGTGGATGTGGCTGTTGGCCCAAAGGAGCCAGGAGAGCCGAGAGGTTGGCAAATAAATTGACGTGCGCTTGGCTGGATTTGTATGCATCTAGATAAGGCCGGTGCTTGTCGATGGGCCAGCAGTTCGGCTGCCGCAGATGCAGCCGAGTATCTATATCTATATATGTGCCTTTGTATCTGTGAGTGTGGCACCTCTGGGTGCGGTAATTGTAATTGGTTTTTACTCTTTTTCCTCTCGTTTCCGCCCCACCGCCTCACGTTTCGGGATAAATCATTTAATTAGTCAGACAATGAGCTGGGACGAGAACTTTATGGGATGCTCCATCACTGCTAAAGGTTATCGATCGCCAATCAATGATTTTCGGGGCGTATTTTTTGGCATTTACCGCGTTTGATATATGACCAGTAGGTGGGCCCAGAAAAGATAAAATGCCTGGGTTATCAGCTCACAAAACGCGAGGCAACTTTGGTGAGTGGGAATAAATTTAAAACGATATTTAAAATTATACTTCAAATTTAAAATTGAATGCTTTTTTTAATTATTTTGTATGTTTTTACTGTAAATGTATCTATCTTTTGTAAATAGAAATACAAAATCTAAAGCAAAGAAGAAAAATATAAACGATACATTTTTTTTAGCCTATCAAAATTAGTACAGAAAACTTATTTTACTGTGATGAAACCAATAGGTGATAGGTTGAAAGTATTTTGTTTTTAAATACTGTTCCTAAAGTTATTCAAAAAAAGTAATTCTTTGATGAAATCAAAAAAACTTCAGCTTCTATCCTTTTCCAGATGAATAAAGGGGTTTCCTTTTCAATTCCGCTTCAGTTTATCTGCTAATTACAGCCCTATAACTATTATAATATTCCTGGAATAAGAGTTCTTTAGCTTCTAAGCAAACTAATTAAAGTCGCCTGAAATTAGGTTCTTCCAGTGGAAGCACCCGATCCATACTGGTATTAGTCCCTTCCGGCCTTTCTCTGCATATGGGAAATGCAATCCACAAGATACTTCCATGTTCCACAGTTGCGAGCGAGATAAACCGACAGCTGTCTTTGATTGGCTGCCCGCAGTACCTACGTGGGCGAGAGCGGGACAACAGTAGGCAACAGCTGCTAACAAGGGGATGGACACTCTTTTCCGTTGGAGTGAGCGGGAGGCAGGATGACAGGAAGGCAGGGGTGGGTTAAAGGAGGGGAGGGGTGACGCGGCGTATAAATCCAATTCATTTAATAATTGCCAACGAGATGGAGCTCATTATCACGAGTACTTTGCACGGCTTTGCCAGTTTCCAGCGGGGGGTATTTCGCAGGAGGGGGGTTCCAGCAAGGGGGTTCTTTGTGGGCAGGCTGTACTGTATCGGGTTGGCTGGGGCACCTCATCTTCTTCACACAGACAGAATATATCTATACTAATACAATTACTGTTGGATTTTGAGCAGATACTTTTTAAAAGTACTTTTAACTTGTTCCGTAGAACTAGTCGACTCAAAATGTACTTAGTGTCTGGTTTTTGTGTTTTATTGGGATTATCCTAGCAGTTTATGTGAAAAATAAAAATCAGTTTTAATTTATTTAAAGCGCATAATATGAAAGTTTAAGATAAAAGGGTTGTATCTGCATAGAATATATTTTTAAACACTAAAGTCAGTTTCATGACTTCGCTTGTAAAAGTTATTTTTATTACAGTTTGTTTAACCTTAAATTGTAAAATTATATTGTTTTTGTGTTTTTGTTTGTGCATGTTTATGTATTGTATTATTTATTATATTTTTGAGACGCTTAATAAATTTATTGTTAAGCATACTATTTTCCTCTGATTATAATTATACTCTATGATATCTTGCATTATTTTATCTGTGTAGAAAATATTTTATAACACTCCAGTCAGTTTCTAGACTTAGCCTTTAAAAGTTATTTTTATTAAAGTTAGCATAAACTTAAATTATAAAATAATATTATTTTTATGACGTTTAATGTATTGTATTGCATACTTTGTTTTTATGATGTTTAATACATTTATTATTAGGCACACAATTTTCCTTTGATAACAAACATACTTTATGATATCTTAAATTATTCCCTGTTTATTTTTCCGCCCAAGAGTATCGTGATAATGCTCCCCGTCGCCCGTCATACATCTGCCAGATACACAGATACAGTATCTGAGATACAGGCAGTATCTCAGTGCGCCCTCGTCTCGTTAGCGTTTTTATTAGACCCGCAAATGGAAGCCCACGGATGCTGATGATTCTGATATTCCGACGCCTGGGAAGTCTGATGTGCGATGATGGTGACGGCTTTTCAGAGTCAATTAAAACAGCTTCTCGTCTCCGTGGATTTCGTGATGTTCGGGGGGATGGGGGCTTTTGGGCACATAAATGGCAGCTGGGGGTTGGAGATGGATGTTTAGCGAAAGCATAATTGCCACAAGGGTTGGACGGCCAGAAGTTTCCACCAACGACCAGCGCTTCGTGTTGACACAGCTAATTGGCTTTATTTGTTTTAATAATTGAGCATTTTCGGCTGCAGCCATGGGCACTGATTTAATTAAAAATTGCCACTGCCAATCGAAAGGGTTTCCTTCGCCCAGTCGTGACACTTTGTGTTTGTCTGGCCGAAAAGGAAGCTTAAATTGAATTTTAATAACGCGGATTTGGTTGGCATTTTTGTGTATTTGGAAATATATCAAGATAAATGAGCTTGAAATGGTGGGGGTATTAAGCAATTATAAAGATGAAAATTATAATATTTTTCTGATTAATATTTATTATTATTTTGAAGTTTTGAGTTCCCAAAAGTTAACCACTTCCTTTCGAGCTAAGCACTGGACTTAATTAAATGCCAATAAATATTTTGCAACTATTTGGAATGCTTAGTCGCAGATCAGTCGTCGTGGATCAGGAGTGATCAGAAGATCGCCAGAAGATCACGCAAATCCCCGAACTTAAACCAAGGAAAAGCCTGTGGAAATCCGCGGGATCTCTGCATCTTGGCCCAAGGATCGGCGCATTTAATCCAATTATCGATGGCTCGAAAATGCCTTGGGAAACGGCTATTTAGAAGAGAATTTGTGGGCGGGTGGCGTGGCTTAGTCCGGGTAATTCTCCCGTTCCCAGAAAGTGCGAGAGGGACAGCTAAGTTGGGTGTGACAGAGAGAGAGAAGATTGCCAGAACAGTCCGTTGATTAATTAAAATTTTGATCAGCTCGCAAACGAGGCCCATTATTTAATGAGTTTTTTATGGGATGCCAGGTGTGGTTGCTTATTTACACGGAGAAAAAATGATAAAAGATGTTAAGCTTTTAAGAACTTGTCGAAATTCACTGATAAACTGAAAATATTTTTTAAATAATGCTTATTATTCCAGCAACATCTAATGCACAACAACACAAAGAAAATTCTGACGTTTTCATCTGAGTTGAAAATGTTCTTAAAAATAGAACGACATTTTTAAGTTGAAAATGTTTTTATTTTGCTCGAATCAAGTTGAATTGGCGGTATTTAAGTACATTGTATGTACAATTAAACTATTAGTTCAGTCCT